CTCCCAACCCAACCATCCGTCCCTGCCGGCAGGGGACGGGCGGCCTCCATCGCAGCCCCGGACGAAAACAAAAGGGCCGCGGGGGGCCGGGGGGAAGCGGGACGGACACAAAGCGCGGGGCCGCGGGGTCACAGAGGGACGGGAGGGGGGCGGGAAGGCCGCAGCTGCGAGAGGCAATTAGGGGGCGGGGAACGGCTTCCCGAGGGTCGGTAACGGGGGGAAGGCGTCCCCGTTCCGCCTCCGCGGGGCAACACCGGGGAAGGACCCCCGGGCCGGGACCGCCCCGCTGCCACCCGCCCTCGGTCGCCCAGGCAACTCCCGCCCGGCCTCAAGATGGCGGCTCCGCGCTCTGCCTCCTGGCGCGGCGCTGCGCATGCGCGATGCCGCCCCCGCTCTCCGGGCTCCTCGCCGGAAGTGCTGGAGGAGGCGGAGGGGAGGGGCGGACGCTTCCGGTTCCGGGTCAGCGGCGGCGGCCGGAGGAGGGGGGCCGCGGCTGTCGGTGCGGTGCCGGGGCGGCGCGGAGCGGCACGGGGAGGGCCCGCGGCAGGTACAGGCCCCGCGGAGCCCCGCTCGGCCCCGGAGGTGGGGGCGGCCCCGGAGATACGGCTGCGGGGCGGGGCGGGGGGGGAACCGGGGGATGGGGGGCGCCTCCGCCGGCCCCGCCCCCACCCACCGGGAGGCACCGGGACGGGAGCGGGGGGAGGGGCGCCGGGACGGGGAGGGGCGGTGCCGGGCCTTCCGCAGCTCCGCTCCCCGGTTGGGGCCTGCACCGCGCGCCCCTCCCCCACCGTCCGGGCTCATCCTCCCTCCCCTCCCCCCGCAATAACCGGGGTTACCCCCCCCGTGTCACCCCCCGCATTGTGTCCCCGTCGGTCACCTCCCCCCTATGTTGCACTTCTCCAACCGGTCACCCCGACCCCCGGGACGCATCCCCGTGTCACCCCCTCCCAGAAATGTCCCCTTCTGTCACCCTCCCTGCCCCCCGATGTTCCCCACGGTCCTCCTTGTGCCTCTCCACTACGAATCGTTCCCTTCAGTCCCTCCCCACCCGAGGAGCTGTCCCCATGCCACCTCCCCCCACAAGTCCCCCCAGAAGCATCTCCACGTCTCCTCGCACACCCCTGAGACCCCCACCAATGTCACCTCTCTCCACCGCTC